ATCAGATCAAAAAGCCCTTTCAGGTCTGGTGTCAATTAAGATAAGTAAATCTGACAAAAAAGGACAATGGCAATGATCCCATGGAGCATTATAAAAGTCTAATTAAGACTTTGAGAACAAAGACTACATCAGAGGCATGCTCAGTTTCTTAAAAAGTCAGTCCATTTATCTGTATATTTTCTTTCACTGTACTGAAAATGAAGCAATCTATTAGAAAAAATCTTTTATGCGAATCTCACAAATCACTTTTTGGCCTTGGATTTCAAGGGAAAGGCAATCAAGTGCGGATTTAATATTTTTATTTTAAATTTTATATACATTATAAAAATGTATATAATACATTTTAATAATTTTAAAATGGTTATCTCATACTGTTTAAAAGTTCTTTTATATACTCCTTACCCTCAAAGAGAATTCAAAGTTGGGCACTGAAACAAGCTGAACTCAAACTAGTTTGTAAATATGCAAAGTCAAATATAGAGGGACACATAAATTCTGCGTAAGCATGTAACCCTTTCAAAGAAAGCCCAGAAATGATGACATTAATGGAACATGGATGAAACACTTAAGGACAATATACCATCCCTGGGAACACCTTTGGTATTTTGCTTCTTAACCACAACTGACTGGGTTTACACAGTATATTAAATTGTAAATTGTATTTATAAACCATAACAGGTGAATTCCTACAATACACCAAAGGCAAATAAATCATATTACAGTTCAGTAAGACATGTTTAATTTAATGACAACTGTAGATCCCCCAGCTGAGAAACAAACTTGAACATCCTAGGACATGTGAACTAACCCTGATTCTAAGGTCACACCTATTTGGAACTCCTGAAAAGGTCTTATAGAAAAACCATGGAAGAAAGGGAAAATATAGGCTGATGATTTTCCAGGCAACAAGTTGCACTGCATTTGTACCCAGTCAAAAGCATTGACATGTAATCAAGTTTCCCTTTCTAACACTGATGACTTACTCTCTATCTATAGAATAAGTTGGTTCTGAAGATTGCAGCTGAGTAAAATTCACAAAGAAAAGAAACTCACTGTGAAGTGTGGGAGGGAAAGGGAGAGAAAGAAAAGAAGGAAAAAGAAAATGTAGATGGGGAAGAGAGTGTCTACAACCTGAGCATTTTAACGGGTATGTGATGAGAGGGAGGCTGTTATGTAAGGTTTGCAGCATCTGTGGTTTATGTAACAACAGAGGAAGAGACAGCTTTGCAGATTTAGGGAGACAAATGTGAGAGCTGCACTTAAGAAATTCTCTACAACTTCACAGGCATAGACAAGGCTTACTTCAAGTTGAGCGATAAAGAGGATTGCCCTAGGCATGATTTCAGAATGTGAACAAAGAAAGTTATTTGCAGCATAAACAGCTTATACTGCTATATATAACTCCAGGCAGCTCATGTACAGCAGACATTAAAATGCATGACTTCCAGGTAAAAGAAAGTAATACATTCAGGAATGGCGTGAACCAAGGGTGGCTTTTATTCTTTAGAATAGGATTAGCAACTTAGATGCATAAACACAAGGCATCCATAAACTCTTACCACCTACATCCATACCACCAAAATGATAGTAAAAAAAATCACAGCTAATGACTAAAATTTCACAAGAACCTATGGGAGGATGACTAAAGTTTCATAAAATTGGTGATCTCGTGAGTAATTTTAGAAGGAGACTCCAACCATTGTACAACGATGAGATCACAGAAGAGCAAATAGAGCTGGAAACAGTTGCTGGCTGCAGATAAAAACGGAGGTGATTCACAAAGGGGTCAAGAGAGAAATGGCAAAAGTGGTATTGCACCAAACTCCACTCCTTTTGTAATGTGCTGTGATATAGCAGGCAAATACAAAGAGCTGGCATTGTGATGAGACATTGCTTTGATGAAATCACTGTATCCCAAGGAACTCTGGGTAGAAGGTCCTGGCAAATTTAGGCTGTGTTGGAAAAAAGCTAAGTAGAGTCGGAACTTCTTAGAATTTGGTAAGAAACTGCCAGGAAATCCTGAAGTAGTTAGCTAGGCAGGAAAGTCAAAAGGATGTCCAGAAGAAGGCAATGGCAACAGTGTTTCCATTTTGCTACCAGAAAAACTTTGTGAAAATGTTCAGGAGCCATAAGGTCCTGATTTATGAATGCCTCTCCCATTGAAAATTAAAGGCTGATATCACTTTTATACTACAAACCAGCACATATACATTTTTAATCTTGGGTTACAGATCCTCTGAGCAGACTTTTTTTTTTATCATTGGGTCACAGAACCCCTGAACCTCTTTTGAGCTCTATCTGGGAATCTCATTCACTGCTTCCTGAATTCTCAATCATACCTAATCCTTCCCACTTCTAAACCAAAGGCACTGGAATCAGGCTGGGCAATAGGGAAGTTGCAAAGAAGCTATACTTCATCCTTTTTATTTCACTTAGGATGAATAACATTGCTGCTTATATGTTGGCAAAGGGGGGTGAGGTGGGGGAGTGACACTCTGCTGCCCCAAGAGAGTTCTGTCATTTTTCAAAGGGATGTCTTTTCAAGTCAAAAATCAATGAATTAGCATATTGTACAATTTGGTATATATAGACTAGACTAGACTAGACTAGACTAGACCAGACCAGACCAGACCAGACCAGACCAGACCAGACTAGAATAGAATAGAATAGAATAGCAGAGTTGGAAGGGACCTTGGAGGTCTTCTAGTCCAACCCCCTGTCAGACAAATGGCTGTCCAGTCTCTTCTTAAAAACTACCAGTGTTGGAGCATTCACTACTTCTGGAGGCAGGTTGTTCCACTGGTTAATTGTTCTAACTGTCAGGAAGTTTCTCCTTAGTTCTAGGTTGCTTCTCTCCTTGATTAGTTTCCATCCATTGCTTCTTGTCCTGCCTTCAGGTGCTTTGGAGAATAGCTTGATTCCCTCTTCTTTGTGGCAACCCCTTAGATCAGGGGTGTCAAACTGCCGGCCCGTGGGCCAGACGCATCATCTGGAAGCCGCGCCTACCCCATTGCCGGCAATGTCCTGATACATTGCGTGATGTCACGTGACGTCGCAAGTTTGACATGTCTGCCTTAGATATTGGAACACTGCTATCATGTCACCCCTAGTCCTTCTTTTCATTAAACTAGACATACCCAACGTATGTTTAAAACGTGTGTTTTGTGGTTTGGAATTTCAGTGATCCAAACAGGTTAAAATAAATCTACTGCAGATACTAAAAATCAGTTAATTCACAAAATATTGTAAAATTGTTTCCCCGTCCCCAGGCATAGAGTTGCAATGTATGCTTTCTATCCAGATTCCTATTTTTGCTGGAGGTGAAGAACAAAAAAGTTTTAAATCTATGTATTTATTTAATTAGTTAGTCATATTTGTATAGCAACCCATCTCACAGGAAATGATTGCTAGAGTTGGACAGTGTGATTGAGATCATCAAGTCCAACCTTTTGCAAAACCATGTTCTACAAAGTGCTCTTACCATTAGTACTTAATTTCTGACCTTTAATTAGACTCTGCTTTGTTGTAATGTAAATCCATTATTCAGTATCCTGCACTCTGGAACAATAAAAAACAGATCTTGACCTTCCGTGTGACATCCTTTCAGGCATTTGAAGAGTGCTATCATATTCCTTCTTGGTCTTGTCTTCCCTAGGCTAAATGTACTTAGCACCTTTGATCTCTTTTCATAGAACTCCATCTCTAGTCTTCTGAACAACTTCTTGTTCTTCTTTCAGCTTATTTCAATTTTGCTCAATGCTTCTGAAAGGATAGTGCCCATAATTTCACATAGCATTCAAAAGGGGTTCTGATCAAAACAAGCTAGACTAGAATAATTTCTCCTGAGGATTTGGAAATCGCATTTGCATTTGTTACAGCCACATCACATTGCTAGCCCATATTCAGTTTGCAATCAAGTAATGTTCCAAGATTTTTTTTGAAAGTGTTGTTACCAAGCCAGATGCTCTCAAATCCAGTGGTTCTCAACCTGTGGTCTGGAGACTGCTGGGAGCCCACGATGTTGTCACAGAAGGTCCACGAAAGCTTGAAGAAATATTATGATTTAAATCTTAAGTTATGTCTTGGGGGGTCCGTGGCCACAAAAGGTATTTAAAAGGGATCCGTGGTGAAGAAAAGGTTGAGAACCACTGTCCTAATCTATTCCTTTCAGCCTTGTGAAGTAATTCAGGCAAGAAGCACATCCAGAAATACTAGCTCTAACTTTATTATAACATTATTGGATCAGAATCATTCATGTCTGAAAGTACATCTCTCCCTCCTTATTTTTACAGTCCAAGAAACTAGGGAAGATCCCTAGTTTTAATTTTGGTTAGTTTGTTGGGGTTTAGTGCACTCCATTTAATTCAAGAAAATGGGTTAATTCAATTATCAGTTTAAGCATTTAGATAATTACCTTCCTATTGAAGTTTACCTTGAATAAATCCTTTCTTTTTTTTTTTGCCTGCCAGGATCATTTTGGGAAATGAGGGTTTCTTGATTGTAGTAACCATTTTGTGATAGGCAAGTCCTTCTTTCACTATAGCCATTTTAATCCACACTCTATTCTCAATATATGCCAATCAATGCAAAATGTTGGAAATCCCTAAGGACAAGGTACGTGACCCTCCAAGCTAACAGCAATACACCTACTGTGTCTCTCATATCCTCTGTAGGTTTTACCCTCTATAGGTTGAAGTTATCTGGATGATCACTAGATGGTAGCAAGGTATCAGAATTTTCTATATTCCTTGGCCGTATCTACAGGGAGTGATTGCTGGAGGTTTTCAAGATCATATCTTAAGTTCATGACTTATTTATTTGTTTGTTTGTTTGTTTATCATATTTGCATAGTCGCCCATCTCACAAGAGAGTAACTTGCTTGTATACTGATGGAGCACAATTGCCAAAACAGAATACAGAGCGACTTGTCAGCAGGTCTGAATTAGTGGCAGAATACAAAGATACCACAATTCATAACCTTTCTCCAGTTCCTTCCTTACCTCATCAAATGAAGCTTCATTCTCACAGTTCTCAAGCACTCGAGTGTAGAATGAGAGACCTGCAAAATCCAAAGAGAAAATGATTTTTACTATTGATAAAACGTTGCAGAAAGACAAAGCTGATTGTTAGAGTAAAAGAAGGACATCTAAAATGACCGCATCATATTTTATATCCACATGGATATGATAGAATTCATTTATAAGTTGGATAGGTTTTTCATGCAATTAGTTATCTGCATAGAAGGCAATGCAACAATCAGGAGCTGTCAAGTCCGCACATTTGTTCTGTGTCAAGGGAAAAGCAAGAATTCTCCATTAACTGTAACTTCTATTATTTAGGTGACAAACAGGAAATCTCACACCAGCCATAAAACATAATAGTCACTGGTTGCATTTACATAATATATTTTATATGGTTATTGAATAACATTATCCTGTTTATGGGTTTGCATGATATATTTACTGTAAGAGTGAAACAAACACATGGGCTATTTTTGACTGACATACTAGGGTACATAAAGGAAAGTAAGATTATCCCTAACCAAGCGTAGCATGTTGCACGCATGCAGCAGCTCAATTTTCAACTGATCTCATTAAACTTTAAGATTGTCTTACTCTTCTTCGATGTACCTAACCTCATTGTAACATCCTGAATTTTATGATGAAATTATTTATTTTGCCACTTTAAAGCCAGGCAGTCTCATTACTTAATTCCAGAGCAAGTTGTAAGCCTAAAAATATACACAAAATCTCTTCAGATATAGATGATTTTATCATATTAATTTTTCACTTACTAAATTTATATTCTATGTTTCCTCCAAGAGCTCAGGGTGATTTCCATGGGAATCTCCCTTCTATTTACCTGTGCAACAATAACCCTGGGAAGTAGGTTGGGCTGAGAGAGACTGCCTGGCCTAAAGTCCACCAGTTTATTTACATAATCGAAGGGGGACTTCAAACTGGATCTTCCCAGTCTTTGACTAATAGTTTAGAGCAGTGGTTCTCAACCTTTTTAATGCCGCGACCCCCAACTGGTCGTAAGTCGAGGACTACTCAACCGGTCGTAAGTCGAGGACTACTCAACTGGTGCAGCACCGTTTGCAGAATGGGACTTTTGGCGGGCTCAGCAGGGCAGAGACAGCCTGGACAATTCCTATTGGCTTTTGAAAGCCAATAGAATTAGACTCTATTCAAGAGAGTCTATTCTATTGGCTTTCAAAAGCCAATAGAATAAAAGGGAGTAGCACAGCTAAGGAGAAGGGGAAAAAAATGGCGGACTGCGTTGTTTGGCAACCCCCGTGAAATGGTCGTTCGACCCCAAATGGGGTCCCGACCCACAGGTTGAGAACCACTGGTTTAGACACTACACTGTACTAGTTACTCTGCCACTTAATTTTATTATAAAATAATTGCACCCAAAGTAATGGATGCTCACTTTATTTAGATTTTCCAAGAAATATTGGTCAGATAGACATCAGCTGATGGATTGTTATAACAGGGCAAACAACGTTGAACCATATGGACAGTTCCCTATCTGAATGCCCTTTAGATGTGTTTGATATATTGCCCATAACCCAGTGGTTCTCAACCTGTGGGTCGGGACCCCATTTGGGGTCGAACGATCATTTCACGGGGGTTGCCAAACAAGGCTGTCCACCATTTTTTTCCCCTTTTCTTTGGCCACGCCCCTGGCACCCAGTGATGTATAAGTGGTTGGATGTCACCACAACATGGGGAACTATATTATGGGGTCGCAGCATTAGAAAGGTTGAGAACCACTGCCATAACCAGTGGTGGGATTCAAATATATGAACAACCGGTTTTCTGTGTGAATGCCACTTCCGGAAGTTTTTTCTGGGCCTGGGCAACAAAAAATTAGCTACGGGTTCTGCCGAAGTGGTGTGAAACAGCTGAATCCCACCACTGCCCATAACCCTCAGTAACCTAGGACATGGTTTAGTGTTTGCCACTTCTGGAGGGCCGCAAAGGAAGGCTAAAGAAATTTTCTGGAGGACCCATCTGAAAGTTCCCTCATATACAATATAGAACCATAGAATCATAGGACTGGAAAGAAGCTTAGAAGTCTTCTAGTCCAGCCCTCCACCCAAGGCAGGAGTCCTTGTATCATCCTGGACAAAGGTCCAATCTTTTGTTGAAAACTTCCAGAAATGGAGCACCCACAACTCCAGGAGGCAAGTTAGTTCTCACTGTCAGGAAATTCCTTATTTCCAGGTTGGGTCTCCCTCTGACAAACTTTCCCCCATTGCTTCTTGTCTTGCCCTCAGGTCCCATGAATTGACCCCCTCTTCCCTGTGACAAACCATCAAGTATTGGCAGACTGCTCTTAGGTGTCCCCTAAGTCTTCTTTGTGTGCCTTTCCCCACTAATTCCTCACACTGAAGTATTATTATTCAAGCTCACTGTGACTCTTCACTTTATTAACATTAACACAAAGAGCGATCTGCCTTCAGGCCATTAACTATATCAGACGAGACTTATGGATGGCATTTGGACTTTTCTGTAAGATTTGTGGATACTGACTTTCCTACTGGTTGGAATTCTTTTGTATCAATTTCATCTCCAGCCTATTTGATTAACTCATTTGCTTGGGGGAAAAGAAAACATTAAACCAAAGGAGCCTAAATGTACAGTGGCAAGAGTCTAAAAAAACCTGACCCATCAGACACCTTATGAAGGGAGTAAAACTATCAAAAATTGTTAATCCTGGAATGACACATACAAGGAAAGATGATAACATGGAATTTACTTTTCATTCGCCTTTTTCTTTGATCTCTACTTTTTCAGTTTACCAGTAGAGGAAAATGTTATTAAAATGCTAAAATATATATCCCCAGTTCCCAATTAACCTCCCCTGAAAGCTAGCAGGACTTGCTCATTATTAAATTTGCCTTCTTCTAGAAATAAAAGATTGCTTATTTTTCAATTTTATTGTGTTGTGTAACATAGTGCAGCAGAATTTGTTGTTGTTAATTAAATTCTAATATAGCTAGAGAGATTACAAAATAGGAAACCTTGATAAATGCCCCATAGGATTGCAATCACAGTTTCACTTATATAGGATTTGGATAATTGAAAAAGGGAAATTATTATTTCACTAGGTACAGGCAATCATCTCTTTATTTACACATATAGATCCACTTTCTGGGAGCACCCATGCTGGTTGAAGCAAAGAAATCTAAACTTTTAATTAGGTTTCCAATCATTTCTCTGGGAAACAAGATTGTATTGTTGTAGGTATTATCAGTAATAATAACACCCAACAAATCTCAATAATTTGCAAACAACTTATAACCACTTGTTTAATCACCATTCCAAGGTAAAGGAGCACTGAAAAAATGACTTATAACAGATCCTTGCACCATCCTCACGATCACATAATCGAAATTTGGGAACTTTGCAAGTGGCATGTATTTATGACACTTGCAGTGTCCCGGTGTCACATAATCAATCACTAGCTGGCTTACAACAAGCAAAGTCAATAGAGGAAGATGGATTTGCTTAATGACTTCATGATTTACTTAAGAACTAGTGATTCATTTAACAACCAAACTAAAAGCTTGAGGTATACATACTTAATAATTTTGGGGGGAGAAAGGGGGCTTATGAGGGCTTCCTTAGAAACTGGATTGGTGGAACAACCAAGGCATGGTTACCACATCAGTGAGAAGGAACCATTTATTTTCTATTTTTCCTCCTTAAAGTATCTCTCTTTGAAACGCCTTTGGGGATGTTTCGATAGATTTTTTTATTCCATTCTTCCTGCTTGAAAATCAGTTCAACATGTGTCTTCTGTTCTAAATGTGCAGTTGACTCTGCTTCTGATCCCTACCTCCAGGGAGAAATCCAGCATTATTTCATCAAAAGGACAAAGGTGCCAAGTTCTTCAATGATATGAGAATCTAAGGTTCTTTTTGGATCCCACATTTAATCCACCTTCATCCCAATAATTTCCTCCTGTATATTACCTTGGTAACTTGGCAAAAAATTTACAATGTTTAAAGGAAGCTCTGTGGCTTTCCCTTCTCTTGAAGTCCGTCACTGCTTTTTAACCAATACCCCAGGAGAAAGGAACGGCCTGGCACAGTCAGTCAGGAGGCATCCCAGCATTGAATTCATATGCAATATAAATTACATATGAACAAGAGGATCAATGACTTCATGGACTTGAATTGATTTCAGCAGTTTAATACTGTTGAAAGAAACCTAGATTAAACAGCAAAACAAAATACACAGCACTGGCTACTTCCAGACATATGCTTACAGTATGCAATATTCAAACTGCATTGTGTGGTGTCAACAGGAGTGCATGTTTTGGTCATTACCTATCTTTGATCTCCCTTTTGTCTGTTTGGACTAATTTGTTTAGCCAAAAAGACCTGGAAAAGCATTATGAACAGAGGATTTTCTCAAGGACAGCAGCAAGTGATGAGGTAATCAGGAGATTCAGGCAGTTCAAATCAGTGTAAAGATTTATTGCAATCTTTAAGCTCTCTGCAAGAGTCTGAGCTACTAATGGTCAAAGCAAATTGGCAATGTATAAGAGTCAAAGGAATTCAAGGTGGCTCGATTTAGATCTCTTGTGGGCGTGAAGGGACTCATGACTAATGACACGTTTGACCTTTCCCTCAGGCTCAGTCTGGTCATCTCCTATAGTCTATTGCTGTTTCTCCTTTCCTTGTCCCCCACTGAAAGCTGCCTTGAGTTATGAAAAAGGTGGGATAAAAATATAATAATCACAATCATATTTCTAACATATGCAAATGTTTTTCTCAGATACGTACACATACTTATAAAAAAGAAATCTACACAGCTGCAGTCTGAGGCATGAAGCTACTGGCAACCTTCTAGAGAGAATTTGGAACCATGGCTCCCTGGGGAGAATCCCTTTACACATTATTTTCCCTTAACTGATCTCAGAAACTTTGCAAGCAACATTTTTCATTGGCAGAAACAAAGGAAGTGTTATAATAGGAAGAATCAGCTAGAAGCACAGAGTGAATATTTTGAACTATGCATTGTTAAAAGAATGCACAAAGGT